CCCCAGGTGGGGTAGTCGGGATTTCAAGTGACGGGGATGATCGAATGGAGCCAAACGTCAAGACCCCAAAAATCCCTGGCCAAAAATTAACCCCCAAAAAATCCCATGCCGTTTTTGTGGGAATTCCAGTGACAGTAAAGCCAATTGACTGAATTGAAGAGGTTGAAGTCTTGTACACGGCCGGGTACCACGGGACAATGCAGACTATTGTATAACATGTGCGATGTAAAGCGACACCATAGTTAACTATTAAACAACAGCAAAACACGTTTGTTTGTACTTTATTCGCAGAACTACGCAGCCAGGGCACTACCGATTCTTTTCAATACCCCCAAAAAATCCCTACTCAAATCAAGCTATCCAAAAAAATACTTGCCAAATTTTCGTACCCAAAAAAATCCCGGAATCGAAAATTTCAAACCCCAAAAAATCCTTCGATCATCCCCGTCACTTGAAATCCCTAGTACCCCCCTGGGAGTCAGACCATTTTACCTTGAACAGTTAATGTGATGATGTTACAACTCCGAGAATATTCTTTACCTGACAAGTATACATTCCGTTATCCTTTAACGTCACATTCCTAATCATCAGGGTACCACGTGACTGTACGATTCGTTTGTTAGCAGGAAGACTGGAGTTCTTTTTCAGCCACGTGATCTGAGGCTTGGGATTTCCTCTAACCTTGCACTGAAATGAGGCTACATCGGTTTCATTAACCACGGTGGGCGTGGGAGGTGATACGATAGAAGGAGCTGAGATGATTTTACCAGGATCGCCCTTTGGACCTTGAGGGCCCGGATCGCCTTGAGGGCCTGGAGGTCCCTGAGGCCCGGGTGGACCTATTTGACCCGGCCTGCCGCCTCTTCCCCCGGTGTTTTTTGGGCAACGTACTTTACAGAGCTGAGGCTAGGGTACTAAGAACTAGCCTCCCCACAGAGGTCCTTTGGGGTTCGTTTGTCACGCATTCATTTCTCCCCCACGGGGAGAAATGAATGCGTGACAAACGAACCCCAAAGGACGTCTGCGGGGAGGCTAACTAAGAACAAGATGAACTTCTTTTTAAATTTCATCACGGATGATAATTTTGCTGGCATTTGATTCCTTCTTTGTACTACCGGTGTTACGTTTCTGGCGAGTGTATTTCTCTGCAAGAGATTTTGACTCAATGACTGGATGAGAAGAAGTAAGAAGGCCGTGCTTGCTTATATAGGTGAAGGAAATATAGCCGAGGGTGTTATGGGTGCACATGCACAACCCCCTTTGAGTTAGTTTTTCGCAAACTATGGAGCGATTGTAATGTGTAAATCAGTTCTTAAAATCTTGGGCATATTATCTATCTTAACGAACAACCTCATATGTGATGGCCGGTTTGTCTAGAGCTACCGGAGTCAGTGAAGTTTTGATCTCCCAGTATAGGGATTATAAGATCCTCGTTTAATAATAGCCATACTATACCAATGTGCTCTTAATTTTTTCTTTTTTTTTTACATTTGTGACCCTGTCCTATTCAACGTGAGTCAATTCAGAATAGGGCTATGAAAGAACTAATCTCAAGTAATCAGAATAAGGGATATTTCAATGGTAACACTGAGGACATAAACACACCTTCCGCCAGGCCATTGTGTGTCTCCGTAAGCGTAGAATGATTCGTTTCATCATTTACAGTGTTTCTTATCACGTGATTTTCTCCACTGTGTTGAGAAGTCAAAACTCTGATGGTATCTCGATGTGCGTGCAGCTCCAACTCGACGTGAATCAGAGCCACGAAGCAAATAAAAATAGAGAGACTTTGTAACATTGAAACTGATACAGTTTTTGAATTAGAAGGAACCTTTGTCGTCTCCATTCTAGTTAAAGATTGTTGACACGGCATGGACGGTCATTGAGACATGTACTGATTGCATAAGCCTTTGTAACACAGTTTCGCTTAATGGAAATTTTCATTTAGTTCCTTTAGGGTTTTTTCCGCATTCCGATAGGTTCATCATTATCTAAGCCCAAGAGAGAGTGAGCCAAGCCATACAACGACGGCATGCCTGGTTTAATAGTTAGAAAAACAACTTGAGAAAGGATCTTTATTGTTTGTTACTATATTTACAAAGCATTGGTTTAACAAACGATCGCAGAAAGAGACAATAATCTCCTCGTGAAATCATTGGAGGAACGACCGCCAACGAGTAGTACTACAGTACGCCCATCTCCCCACCCCTTTTCCTCAAGATCTATTTCAATCAGGCCTTCCGGATTTGTCCAGTCAACTATTTTGTACGACCTCACGATGAAAAGATTATAGTGAACATGAAACACTGCTGGATATATCTAGCAAAGCAAAAACAATAAATTGGTGTATTTATTGCATTTGAAACCATTTAGAAGTAAATAGCCGCAAAGATGCGCTGGCCTAAAAGTAAAATATGTTTATCTTCAAACCGAGTTCTCGGGGGAGGGACTCCGCATATAAAAGGGGTGGAGATGCTCGTCGTCTCGCTTAGGGGTGTAAATTTCGGATTTTGGTTTCACTTACGGTGTTCTGGGCAAAACGCCATCATATTTAGCCGTGAAGGTCTCTTTTAGGGGTTGCACGTGAAAAAAATATAAAAATATTTGTATTGTTTGTGTTTTAATAGCGGAGCTCTCGCTCTCTTATCATAAGATAAGAGTGGATGTCCTGTAGAGTTTAGAACTACTTCTCTAAAAATTTTGCGATCTTGCCTCTCTAAGAGATCATATACACTTACAGCCTTTGACATGTATTTCCTTTTAAAACAGCGGCCCAAGAAACATTGCACAGGTGTAAGATCGGAATAGGACCCAGCGTAGACGGATACTGCATAATTAATATTAGGTCGAACTATTGTATTAAGAGAATGTCTAATTCTGACTGATAGTACCCCTCTTTGCGCAGCGTTCTAAGGATATGTACCATGTTTTTTCAGCCTTTCTTCGTAAATTGAGTAGAGAAGCCTCGCGCCTCGGTTTCATGACTTAAGAATCTACGTAATAATGTCACTGGTTGCTCGAGAAAAAGGCCATTTGCCCGCTGGCGTCACTTTATTACTATGACCAGAATCCCTCTGCTTTTTCCTTTCATATTTAAATTTGGTAATCCCAGTGACGATTAAAAAATAAAAGCCCTAATTTGCACAAGAAGGCAAAACCCTGAAGGATTCTGGTCGTAGTATAAAATAGTAGTAAAATGACATCATCGTGCGCTATATTATAAAATAACTAAGAAAGCACGCGCGCTCTGATTGGTCGAGAGGAGTTTTAGCATGAGAGTATGTAGACATGGTTGTGGCGTCAAGATGTTTTGCTTTTCGCGCGCTAATCACGCAAGCACGAATTGAAAAAGTTTTCGAGTTCAAAACTCCACAAGTTTACTTTATTTACCCATTCCTTCGTCGGCTGAAACTTGGAAAATCGTTACAAAGAAGGTGTGTCAATTTTTCTTCGCTTAAGCTGACATTTTAAGCGAGAAAAATCCCTATTTGGAAAGCATTTTTGCAAAACAAGAACTGATTAAGCGTGCAAGACTTCGTGGACAAGACTTTGCGACTGGTAAGAATTTCTCTTTTAATCACTGCCATACAAAGAGTTTTGCGTTTTTTCTCGGGAAAGTTATTTTATAAAAGCAAAAGAAAACTTTTTTCCTGAGTTTGCTTAGCCTGATATAAACACTCGAGGCGTTGGGAGAATTCTCGACAGTTATGCAAACCCTCGACTTCGTCTCGGGTTTGCATGACTGCCTCGAATTCTCCCAACCCCTCTCGTGTTTATATCAGGCTATGCAAACACGGAAACCGTTTCCTGTTGCTTAATTAGTAATATTGATCAGTCACATCAAGCAAAAGTACAATTGTTTAATTTCTTTCTGAAATTAATTTTTAATCTAATTTTTCCTTTATGTGTCGAGCTTGAGAATCAAGAACTCAATCGGGCATTCGAACGTTTATGAAAACTGAGGTAAATACACCATGGGAATCTTTTGGCAAGTGCCAACGAGGCGAATCTCGCAGTTTGTTAAATAATTTAACGGCCTGTTTACATGGAGGTTGGGGACCCCAGGTAGGTGAGGTAACGTCCTTAGGCGGGGTAACCCACCTGTTTATATAATTCTCTCATTTTAATTTGAGCACGTTTACATGATAGGTGAGGTGACCCGCCAAATGTTACCCTTCACCTATCTGGGGTCCCTCACCTCCATATAAACGGGCACTGAGTGGCTTAAACTTGATTTCGCTATAGGCAAGGATGGCTAATAAATTTTCAACCAAGTTTGAAACAACATTATATAGGCAGATCAAACTACGTTTTTACTTTTATTAAACAAAAACATGGCCTGAAGTCGTGTTAGTAACTTAAGCAATACGTTGGCTCTTTCTGTCTTTAATGGTAAATTCTATTGCATCAAAACTATAAACATTAGAAAGTAAATTATTTTTCGAATGAGGCATTAAACTGTTGTAATTAAAATTGACAATTATATTCCGAGCTTTTGCCAATAGATCAACGGCATTATTAGAAATAAGAAAAATATTCCGCATCAAGTTAAGTATATGAAAAAATTGGTGGAAAGTAAAATACGTGAAAAGCGCATATGGAGTGAAATTTGTAATAAAGGTATAGAAATATAAATTTGAATAAAATACAACTTAACGATCTAATGAGCCAGTCTCACAGGACAAAGAGTCTTTCGAAAGGCATAAAGATAGTCTCTAAAACAAAAAATCCACAAATTTGTTCCAGTCCTCACGGAAGAAGAGGACTGGCTCTTGGACTTTTTAATTCCTTACGTTAAAGTATATCATCACACTAAGTATTTTCATCAAACCTAAGTGCGCTACTCTACTCTGCTTCAATTCAAATATGTGTTCCTTTTTTTCATAGGATACAAAAACACTGCGCCTGAAAGGACGTTTAAATCAGCAAAGAAATTGCAAATAGGACTAAACATACAGCGCCCCTAGCTGAAACTGGCTGTTTCCCGCTGGACCGACTCGCTAAGTATGTCCATAACATTTGAGTTTCCCTAAAGTGTGATAAGCTTCCTCGTGTGAACCGTTTAAGTCTCCCAGTCTGATTTGTGTCACGGGAAGAGCGGCCTTGTCTGTGAGCAGACCACTGTCCTCACTCCAGCCACTGCGGGTTGGGCAGTTGCATTTGTCACCACTGAGACAAGAGTTTGTTACTCCGCATGCGCACATTTTTTTGTAGCCAGTAGCTCCACCCCAGTAGTCCATTCTTGTTCCATCACGTGACACCCACCAGGCATAGTCAATGCCAATAAATGCTGAGTGGGGGTTGCACTCATACTTGATGAACTGTTCGCAGTTTTGTGAAACTCGAGAAAGTGCTGCCAGTTGGGCGGTAGTAACTCCTGTGTAACTAACATCTTTACGGTAACATCCGGCGTAATGACATCCAGGAATGTTACCAACATGGGTCCTACTCTCACTATCGTGACTAATGACCGTCACACCAACTCTGCCCTTGTCATTCATGTCACAATACACACTAAATGAAGTCACGCCACCATTGCCATCAGGGTCAATAATGTAATTACCAGAAGAGCTTCCAGGGTGTTTAGATCTTATCTCGCTGCAGGTTTTGGGTTGTAAGCTTAGCACTTTAACAACAGAGGTTGCTTCTATAGAACGGTGGTAGTTTTTCGCTACGCATTTGTAAGTTCCTGCGTCATTTAGAGAAACCATCCTTAGAAGCAATGTTCCATTTGAAAAAATGGCGTGATTTTTAGGAATTGCTTGGCTTTGTCTTTCCCAAAGAATATCTTTTTTACCGTGGGCTGCACAGTTTAATATCATGTCGCTGCTCTCATTTGCAACAACTGTAGGAGGAGGAGCCAAAACGAATTCGAGCCTGTCAATCACTGTCACTAATGCAACAGCAGAATCTTGGCTAAGAAGGTTCTTTACCGAGCATGCGTAAGCCCCACCGTCTGCTTTCGTAACGCTGAGTATGGTCATATTCCAACCTGCCACCAAAATATTCGCTTTAGACACGTGACCAAACGCTTTGCGCCACATTACTGTTGGTGTAGGCTGACCAGTAGCTTTGCAAACTAGGGTCACATTTTGTCCTTCTTCAACAATCATAGACGAGGGCTTTTGAGTGATTAGGGCAGCAACTGTATAATGCAAACAAACAACAGTTATATGTTACGACAGGAGCCTATCAAATGGAGCCTCCATCTCCCATACAAGCCCTTGGAGTCAACCCTTTCCCGAGTAGATTTATAATTAGAACGGTTCCCAGGGGAGACTTCGCGCGCCGACGGTGGGAAGAGCCAATCACAACGACTAAATGACACTGCTATTGTACTTCACGAAACAGCAGGAAATCCGGTGCTGACAGGCCAAACAAAGGCATGGGTCGCACTTGGCAAATTTCTGGAAGAATTTGTTTACCTTGCGGTAAAAATCTGTCATCGGGACACATTGCTAAGTGCGACCCCAAGTTTTCAAGTTGGAAAAAACTTTGAAAATCGCGAAAAACATCAAAGACGCCGTATTGCTTGGGTGGGGCAGGCAGATTTTGGAAAACTCGAGCTAAACAATAGGAATCACGGCGGTAAGTGTCAGCACTTGTCAGCGAAACGTGACCAATTTGAAACACGATCAATTTGAATCAATCGTTGAAATTTTCTGACCTTCGCATTTTCGTTGTGGACGGACGAGGCTACCACTACTTTTCGCCATTTTAACGTTTTTGCGAAAACTTTCTACGGGCGAGCAATTCATAAGCTTGTAATCCTTCGCTATTTCAACGTTTTTACGGGAACTCTCTACAGGCGAGCCAATTATAGTCTACCCAAGCACCGTCACAGGTTTGTTATTCTCCGAGCTAAATGCAGTCTTTGCAGCCAAGCACTTTATTTTCTTTATTTCTCCCATCCTCCTGAAACTGGGAAAGGAGGAAAACGATCCTACGCCAAATGATCGGACTACGAAGAGATAATGTTCTCTGGTATCTGGCCTACTTTAGTTCTCAATGTGTCAAAACAAGCTAAAACAACGACAATTAACTCCCACTAGTAAATACTAGTGCGACCCTCCTCGATTTGACTAAAAGTTTTCTTTTCCGGTTGCGGTTTCGAATTTTCGTGGTTTTTTAGCCGGCAAAGATGAAAACTTTTCCCAAGTGCGACCTATGCCAAAATCATAAGCTAGTGAAACGTGACTTTAGAGTTTTCATCCCTCAGAGATTTTCTTTCTTTTCTTTCTAGCGGGTAGATTATACTGTGGAGAGTTTTAAACTCTGACTATGTTAATCTTAATTTTGGTTGCTTGTCTCACGTTAAGCTGGTCTGTTACATGCGTAAGGATTAACTACTACCTTCAGTCTGTAGTTCTGACAGGATTCGTTTTCTTTAGCCAATTTTTTTGAGCGTTAAGGTTCTTATTTCGGCTAAATGTCTCAATATTAATCAAATTTCTAGTTTTTCAAGTTTTTATCTGAAATGCGTTTGTCTGAAAAAATAAATACTGTGGTTGTTTTGTCCGTCAGTTAGTGTGATGATTCCCTGCTATGTTTTGTAACGCCGAGCCCAGCCATTGTTTTCTCGCAAAAAAGTGATCTACAGATGCGAATTCGAAGGAAAGAATTGGCCTAAACTTCTACATTAATTGCTGAGAATTCTCCTGTTGGTCAGTCATAATTCTTTGGACGCAGATACAATCCATTTTGTTTTTCTTGAGATTAGACTGCAAAACAGTCCGTATTTTTGCGTATTCAAGTACGCGCGAGCAGTCAAACAAAAGGTCTGGAACGAAGCTGAAAACAGAGAGCGAGACTGGGGAGAGACGCTAAAAATACGGACTGTCCGTTTTGCTTACGTGATATTCGTTCGAATTACCCGCTTCTCCCAGCCACGGGCAATTCCCATTGGCTAAATTTCTATGCAAGCTGTCACCAAGCTGTCAAGTAATGTTTTTAACAAGTCATTCGCGATATTCCCTACCGTGATGAATTTCTAAAGCTTTCGCTGTAAAATGACGGATGTTAATCGCCTGGATTTGCTCGCAAGAATTGGGATTTGTTTTAAAATCGGAGCAGAGGGAAGCTTTGGAGTTGCTGCTCAGCGGAAAGGATGTTTTCTGTGTTCTACTAACAGGATTTGACAAAAGCCTTATTTATCAGATGTTTGTGTTCAAGTTCTGTGCAACGGCCGACCGTCATTGTTATCTCGCCTGGCTAAAAAGGGGGATCGGTAGGAAAAACACGACTCAGTTTACCTCATGCAAAAATGCTTCTTGTTCCATTGAATTGTTTTCTCTGTCGGGTAGATTTTGCTTTGGAGGAAAACGTTTTGACTGAGCAAATGTAAGTTTTGGCCGCTTATTAAATATATTTCATACTGAGAGGTCGTGACACGCATATTGATTTTCTCTGGTCGGCATGATTTGCTCTCTGATGCAAGAGCATTTTCTTTCTTGGCCCCTTTAGAAATGTAAAACTCTTCATTGCGGCCGATTAATGGTTTTAGGTTGTTTTATTTCTCCAAAGTGCCTCCTGGATTTGAATAATTTTAAGCGATTTTCTTTGTGACCGTCAATGTGACTTTTTCCTGCAATCTTTTGTCACGCTGAGGCCAGCTCGTTAGCGTTTTTAGCGTTTTAAATTCTCACAGATAGTGATTTACAGAGCTAAATCACCAAGACGTAGATTTGAATGAGGGGATTTACTCATTCTTTTCAGTCGCATTATTGTTCATTGTCAGTTGGCGTGTTCAGTTCTCTAATTTGCGAAAGCATCGCCGTGCAGTTTCACGGGGATCCCGGGGCAGTTTCTAACCTTTGTTCCGCACGGAGAGCAAACTCTTGTGGAGAAAGATTCTCGATCCTTCCTCGAGGACAACGAAAAGTTCGTTTTTCAGTAGGTCGTCCCACTTTGGTAACGTTTCTCCTTTTCTGGTAGGCGCAACAAACACATTTTCCGAGCTTATCCATCCACTCGCAAAATTGCCGAAATGTGTTTTGAAACAACAGCCGCACATTCTACAATTTATCCGAAGCGCTCGGCTCTTTTGGCTTTCTCCCTCTCCGAGGAGCAGGCGCAGGCTTTGTTGTCGTACTGCCACTTCCACTATATATACTACATTTCATTATATACACTACATTTCACAGGGAAGCAACGCTAAAAATTGCTTTAGAATTACTGGATTACAGCGTCAAGATTCGAAGCAAAGTGCAGACAATAACACGCGCTATTCTCCCTCGACACCAATCACCGAGTGTATCAAATTCACAAAGAGGGCGGGGCTGTGAACAGATTTTTGATAGCTCGACGACATTTTTGAACCCCTGGTCGGAACGAAATCGTAGAATGGAAAACGGACAGTCGGTTTTTTTTCTCTCGCCTCACACGCCCTACGGGCCTGTGAGGCTCGCGCGCCTTGCGCGCGTAAGACTCTTGCGCCACGCTTTACCGATTTTTTTTTACTGATTTTGAGAAAAAAACCGACTGTTTTGCGGTCTATCTTGAGATAAGAGGGTCTTTGGACTGGAGCGCGATGTCACAAATTCCACCGTTAGCAAATTACTTTTGAGTTTAATAGCTTCACGGTCGAGCAACTGTTGTCTTCTGTTCAACTTTTCAAGTGCCAGTTTTATCAGGCAACTCTCATGGTGATACAAGTCAGTTGTAAAGGAAGACTGCAATTTTTCTGAAGCATTCCTCCTTAGTTGCTACTTAGGTCATCGCTTTTGCACTCGGTGCTAAACTGGCGAAATCCATTCCAGTCCATTCCACGGCGATGACAAAAATAAATGATCCTGGCACTTCTTCGGCGCTGATCATCGCGAAGTTTCAAATCGTCCACAGAACGCTTAATCGTCGACTCTTTTCAAGGTGCATGCTTAAGTGTGGGATGTATGACGGCAAAAAAAGAAAAACAAAAAAAACAAACACTCGCAAAGAACCTTTCCGTGATCCTCAGTTCGCTGCCTTTGTCCCATCGCTTCATGCTCAGTCTCAGTCGGGT